ATCAACCATGGTATCCTTCTGGAGTGGCTTTGGGGGTTGGGAATGGGGGGCACTATGTTGTCCTGGTTCACTTCCTTACTCAGTGGCTGTTCCCAGTCAGTGTTGATAGGGAGCAAGAGGTCTGGCCCTCGGCCTCTGTTTTGTGGGGTTCCGCAGGGTTTGGTACTTTCTCCACTTCCGTTTAACATCTACATGAGTGAGATCATCCATCGCCATGGGGTGAGATATCAGTATGCTGATGATACTTAGCTGTATATCTCAGCCCATGGGAAGTTAAGCGATGTCATAGCCTCCCTCTCACAGGGCCTGAAGGCTGTTAAACTCTGGATGGGGAACAACAGGTTGAAACTGAACCCTGGCAAGACAGAATGTCTCTGGGTTTGGGGTTCTTTGGTCCATGGAGAATTGCCATCTTTGATCTTGGATTGGGTTGCACTGCCCCAGATGGACCTGGTGTGTAATCTGGGGGTTCTCCTGGACTTGCAATTCCTGCTTCAGCAGGTGGCAGTTGTGGCCAGGAGGGCCTTTGCGCAACTGCAGGTTATGCACCAGTTACGCCCTTTCCTGGACCAACAGGCCCTGCTCACACTCACCCACGCCCTAGTCACCTCCTGTGTTGACTACTGTAATGTGCTCTACATGGGGCTGCCCTTGAAAAGTATCCAGAAGCTTCAGTTTTGTGCAAGCCTAGATTTGCACATGTGTCACTTTTCTTTCAGGAGCTGTGTTGGGTGCTGATTTGCTTCCCTGTCCAATTCAAGGTGCTGGTTATCACCTTTAAAGCCCTACATGGCTTGGGGCCAGGTTATTTGAAGGACCGCCTTTTCCCAGTTTCATCTGCCTGACCCACCAGATTGGGGAGACGGGGTATGTTACCAGTCCTCCCTATTAAGGAGGTCCATCTAGTGGAACCAGGAAGAAGGACCTTCTCCATGGCGGCTCCCTCCCTGTGGAACATCGTCTCCACAGAGATAAGACTGGCCCTCACCTTGATGTTCTTCTACAATGCCCTGAAGACATGGTTTTGCCAGCAGGCCTGGGAATCCAAGGTCGATTTGCTAGTGTAAATGTGTTGTTGTTGCCAGGGAGTGGGGTGAGTGTAGTGGGTTTTGTATTTGGGATTTTTATTCCTATAAACTGCGCGGAGTCACCATGAGTTGGGCAGCCATATAAATTGCGTAAATAAAGTAAGTAAATTTATGTTCAATTCCTGCTAACCAAATACCCTGAATATTACCCAAATGTCTTACTAAGCATGCCGAAGGTTCCGCAGCAAATTAAATATTAAAGGAGAGAAGGGAGATCTTGATGAATTCCACACTGCATCTTAATTACAAGGGAAATGATCCTATTGTAATTAGCAGTGCAGAAAGATTAGAATAAAACTCTCCTTATATTTTTTTAAACCACTTAGTGGGGTCTTTCTTCAGTAGTATGAAGTATATCTTACAAACTTAGCAGTGCAACTAGATCTCTCAAATGGCCATAACAAAATTGGTCAACTATTGGCATGAATTGGTCAACTGTCAACTGTCAGCATGAACTGCAGTATCATCAGGACACTGATGATACTCAGTCGTATATCTCTAGACATGTCAAAGGACCAGCTTACTTGCAGGACTGCTTCTTAATGGTATCTGTCCCACACACTCCAACAGAGTGACCGTTCTTTAGTTCCTTTCCTTAAAACACTATCATCTGTTAGGACCTAAGAGGCATGTCCTTTTTGTTGAGGCACCTGGTCTCCTCCAACATACGATTGGTCCCAAGTCTTCTGACTTGAAAGGCACTTTAAGCCTGGCTTTTCCTTGTGCATTGGAGTCAGTGTGATTGGATTTATTGTTGGAAGATAATAATTGTAAGTTCCTGATTGCCAGTTAAGGACTGTTTATTGTTTTATATTGTTTACCTTGGTTTTTTGTTGGTTTTTGTTTTTGTTTTTTTGAAGCTGCCTAGAGTCACAGTCTTTGAGTTTAAATAACAACTTACATATTCCCCCCATTCCAGTGTATCTGCTTGGTACAGTTTAATGACTAATTAAGCATATAATTGATTGGGTTCCATTATGGTTTATATTAGCAATGGAGCCTTTAGCACAAATAATTATTTCAGGGTCTTTCAATTAATTTATCTTCATTCACAATCCAAAATTGCAAAATTATTTTTGGCTTTCACACAGGCAAGCTAAAAACCAAGACTTTCTTACAACATAATGTATACTAAAACATGAGGGTGGATTGGGTAATCCTAATGTCAAATTGTATTATTAAACTCTACAGTTGAGAGGTATTGTGGGAATTGTAGCCAATTTAGAACTTGGCTTGTGGTTTGTTTTGGTCTGAATGGCAAATTTCAAAAGGAGGATTAAAGGTTTGGTGTTTTAAGCTGCTCTTATTAAAAAGACTACCAGTTCTACTTCCGCTCCACTTTTAAGTCAACTGTGGAGACTTGGAAAAGATAACAAACTTGCCTATCTTCATTTCACCACTTATATTAATTAGAGGTAATCTTTTCTGCATTGAAATATTTGGAAAATAGGATAGTACAATGGATGATAGGGTTAGAATAACAGATATGTATTTCAAGGCCCCCTTAGTCCCCTTGGAACACATAAAACATTTCAGATTTCAATCTTAAATTGTTACTATTGCTATAGTAGTCATCTACTTTTAAATCAGTATAATAATAATACATAATATATAAATATAATAATAATATATTAAGTAAGCATTGTAATATAATTTTCTGGCAGATATGTGCTACATCCAATCAGTTTGTTTGCTGATATGTGTCTTGGTCCCTGCAGAAAACAAGAAACATGGAAGCAAACGACTGAAACTTGTTTATTATTATTAGTTTTGCCTTCTTTTTCCTTCAGTCATCCCAGTGTACAAACAGTAACCAAGGATTCTATGACCCTATATGAGTTTCTTTGACTTGGTTTAGATGTCATGCTAGAATAACAGTTTAAGGGCTTATGTATTGTACCTGGAGATCATTAGTGCTTTCCCTTTCACTTCATGTTCTCCCTCCCTATACTGTAGTTGGTATTTTCTTGCAGTTCCTTATCCTGTATAAATTAGGTCCTTATAGCAATTTAGGGATTAAGTTGCATTATTTTTTTTTTCTCACCTGAGAATGTTATGGCTCCTGATGATAAAATCTTGGTTTCTCTTACCTCTGAATTGGTTCTTTGACTTAACTATGGCATAACATTTTCCAGAGGGATAGAACTTAATTTGCATTGAACCAGCTCTGTTTACCCTAGGCTTTGAATGATGCTGTAAAAATTCTGAGATCATACTAGGCAGCCAACCTGTGAATGATTGGTGGAGAAGCTGGCTAAATTAACACAGCTATTTGCATGAAATTAATTAGAAATCCCCAGCTTCACCAAGACTAATACACAAATAATTTGGCAAAAAGTATTAGCATAGCTAAATGTTCCTGTTGACTTCCTGTGCCCACATTAAGAGAGGTGTGTGATTAAAAATTTATAGCTCATTTTTCCATTCAGTCACTGATAGATAGCAGTATTGGGCTGAATCCAACAGTACATAACCAAACTTCCCCTTGCACTATGTGATTTTCCTTTAATCTTTTCCCCCACTTCCCCCCCTTCCTCTGTATGTACCTTGAAAGGTTTCCTAACATTCTAGTACAGATCTGGGGATGCACAAGGAATGCATTTCCGCTGATGGATGCTATTCTTCCTGTAGAATGATATTACTGGTAATTAAAGTTCAGCTTGGTTTTCATTGTGTGTTGCTATATCTAGATAGTACTTGATAGCAGAAATTAGTTTAAAACTATGAATGTTGATTTACCCACTAGTGTTAAAGAAAATTTAACTGGGACATCTAATATTAAGCTTAATGAGGTTCTCTTGAGCTATATCCAGTTTCATAAAGGCAAGTTTGTGTTCAGTTTTTTAACCACACAGTTTTTGATTTGTGCTGCTGATGCCCTTTCAATATACATGAGTTGAAGACTCACATAGAGCTAAAAGGGGGTTCATTTGATAGCTCAGATGTGCTAGCAGTGATAAAGTTAAGCCACTGAAAGGTTTAACAAGCCACTTAGACTATTATTTGAAACTATAAATATGAGATAAAGTATTCTAAATATTTAAATTAAGTTTTCTAACAGGACTATTTATGAAAAAGCTACAAATATACAATCCCATATTTGTATAGTCCCCCTGGAGAACTTGGGGGAAAAACTGTTCTACTTCAACCTTATGCATTATAGAGTTATTGACCTGTGGCAATTTCTTCCGTTTTAGTTCTGTGTGTATAAACCTGAGGCAATTGTTTCAGTTTATATATAGGGGTATGGTCACTTTCTCCTATGTACTATTTAACAGCTGTTACATGATTCAAGAACTGGAACTGATGGTGTTCCAGAGGGCCTTAAAGATCTGGCTGTTCTCCCAGGCCCTGGGCTAAGGTGGTTGGAACCCCTTGTGGGATCTGTTTGCGTATATTTTTATGTCAATATATAATTTGTTCTTCATTTATCTTGTTTCTGGTTATCTCCAGTATATTGCACTTTATGTTGTCTGTTATATTGCGAGCTGCCCAGAGTCACTCTGGAGTGAAGCAGCACCTAAATCAAATAAACAATGCAAAAATCTTATAATGGGGGTATTTGCATTTCTTGAGAAGGTATCTGTTTTTTTCAAAACAATTTATTTTAATACTTTCCATTATGTGGAGTTTAGGTATGTCTAGAATTTCACAGCATTCAGAATTAAACAGGAGTGAAGTTAAAAAATTTTAAAAATTAAAATCATTGTAAGAAACTTTCAGTTTACTTTTTGTTGCATTTAAAATCAATAATAATAACATAATGATCAAGCTTATTAAGAATCTAACTCTTACTAAAATGCATGGAAGGCAACAATTTTGGTTTAAATAATAAATTATAATAGAGAGACAAGAGGTGATTATTTGCTATCAATTGATGCTTGAGTAATATGCATCATTTTTTTTTCCTAGTATCAAGGTGGAAATGGGTCTAGTCCAGTAAGAGGAATGCCTCCTGCAATTCGTTCTCCTCAAAATTCACATTCCGCCCCTTCTTCTGTAAGTTTAATCTACAGATATCATTGTGATCAGCATCCAACATACAATTTCTTGTACACCTTAGAAACTTAACATTACAGAGGGTGTGGGTTTTTATATTATGTCATTTGAGGAAAATTGTTTATCCTGTTGTTTTATGTCTTTACTGACCAATTACTTGGCAATAAACTTGTACAGAAATAGAATTAATTCCCTTTGTATGTGATGTCTGGTGTGATGTTAGCATGAAATACCTGCAAGTCAGTGCTTACAAGAAGTGCCAGAAATCATATGATGAAGGGCCATTGCAAGGAAATGTAAAGAAAGAAGACAAAAAATAAACTAAAATGTTAGAAGTTGCTACTTAGCCTAAATAAATTTAAAGTCCTGAACTTTCAAATATGGTCCATTTTGTCCTACTGCTACTTTACAGTGGCATAATCTTGGAAGATGAAAGCAGTTTCTTACTGAGGAGTTTTGTGGTTGCTTTTGCTTCATCTCCAAGAGGAAAATATCTATAAGCTATTAAAAAATAAAGATTGAAAATTCAGGGAGAGAAGCTGCAATACCTACGGGAGGTAAATAGTCTTTACAATTCCATCACTTATATATAAGAGAAAATACACCCCCCCTTTTTTTAAAATGTGATTGTAGTTCTCAGTTCTACCTGGGAAAAGTAAAGATTTCACTGAGAAGGATCCCCATCCTGTCCTCCCCCCCCTCCCTGTCCTGGTCATATTCATTCAGCAGTGATAAAAGATTTCTGCTTTCATTACTATCATAAACGAAAACTATGGGTCTTTCACTATATATTTTACCAGTTCCCTAGAGCCGCTATTTTTTTCTTTCATTCTCACCCAAAAGCCTGAAATTAGACAAGCTGCTTTAATGAATAGCAAAGATATTCATTATAGAGATGCTGAATCATTTTAATATGTTTTGCCATACAAATTGTTACCATCTATAGCTGTATCCATGGATTGTGCATACTTTCTAGCCAAAAATCTAGCATAGTGACCAGCACTTATTCTTTGGTGATGTCCTTATCTGTGTGTTTCTTGATCCCCTATGGTACAGCCATTTCTATTCTAAGATGCTTTATTTTTATTGATTTAAAAAAAAACACTTGATGTACTTTGCCAGTAGTATCTCATGATTCATGTAGATCACTGGACAGCTTTAGGTTTAGAGATTGAAAAATGAAGCTCTTGCCTGTTGTGTAACTATCACCCATTGACCCACTGAAAACCCTAATGCAGATAGGTAACCCTCACAACTAAAAGGGGGTTAGTTTTAGCCCCAAACAGCTCAAGACCTAATGGGTGCTGGACACTGTTGTTGTTATTTCTTCTCCTGGTCAGCTAAGTTCTCCCCACCCATTCTTTGCTGGCAGTGGTGTCAACTTGATTGGACCAGTGTAGGTTTTCTCCTGTTTTTTCTGTCCTGTGAAAAATGTAACAAGGTAGCAGCCTCCAAAACTCCCTTAGAGCAACTGAGGGAACTAGAAAATGTCTCCTACAAGATTGACTAGATCATCGATTGTCTTGCTTGCATATGGGTTGATTGACTTGCACCAGGAAGCACATGACTCAGTTATGTCACTGAGACAGAGAAAAGTGATGGCAGGTTTTACTAACTGTTCCAAACCCTGGTGGTAGAAGAGACTAACTTCTGTGCAGGCAGCCTCCCCTTTCAGATGAAACCTTTTTATAAAGACATCTTCCACTTTTCTGATGAATGATAAATACTGCTTGTATATCTAGGTTCGGCAAAACAGCCCCTCTCCTACGGCATTGTCTTTTGGGGACCACCCTGTTACGCAACCCAAACAGTTATCATTTAAAATTACTCAGGTATGTATCCTGAATTGTCAGTGTCTGCTTAGTGCTAAACATAAATGAAGTCATCCTGTTTTCTCTTAGTCTTCATTTCCACCTCCATGTTTCTGGAAGCACCATTACAATGAATCTGTGGGTATCTAAAATTAAACTGAAGCACTTATTGCACTGAAATGCTAGGGGTAACTAGAAACAAACCATTCTTACTGTCTGTGCATTTTCAGTCATCTCCAGTGTCAGGTGATCTGCCAGGAGACATTTATTTAAAAAATATTAAAAACGTTTCAGAACATGTGCTTTGGGATTTAAGTTTTCATGACCTCGGTAGTTGTGCTGGAAACATCAGGCAATGAGTGAAATGGAAGAAAAGGAGGATGCTGGTCATTACTGTCAGGATTATTTACTCACAAAAATAATTGTGTGTGTGTGTGTGTGTGTAAATAAAAAAGTGCTTTATACTAAGTCAAGCTTTGGTTCTTGAAATTTAGAATTCCTTTTATTACTAGAGTCCACTGGATTTGAGCAGCCAATAAATATATATGAATGAATGAATGAATGAATGAATGAATGAATGAATGAATGAATGAATGAATACATAACTAATAGCAGCAACTGTCCGTCGGGTTAGACAGTGATGTTTTTGACCGTACTTAGTTATGCTAGGGATTAAATTTGGACCTTCTCTGTGAAAACTATGATGCAGAACTACAGAACTGTAGTTCCCCTAC